CGGCTGTGTAAAATGACGTTGAGCAATACCACCAGCTCCGTCAGAATAGGGAAGGACCTCTCCGAGCCGTTTGATACCAAACGAGGTTTCAGACAAGGGGACCCCCTTTCGTGTGATTTCTTTAATCTTATGTTGGAGAAGATAATACGAGCCGCAGAACTGAACCGCTCAGGCACAATACTTTATAAGAGCGTACAATTGCTGGCGTATGCCGACGACATCGATATTATCGGTAAAAACAAGGGCTACGTCTGTTCTGCCTTCTCGGGATTGGATAGAGAAGCAAAGCGAATGGGTCTGGTGGTGAACGAGGACAAAACGAAGTATCTCCTGTCAGCACACAAACAGTCAGAGCATACGCGTCTTGGCACCCACGTCACTGTTGACAGTTACAAGTTTGAAAAAGTAGACGACTTCGTTTATTTGGGAACCAGCATTAACACCAATAATAATGTCAGCCTTGAAATCCAACGGAGAATCACTCTTGCCAACAAGTGCTACTTTGGGCTGAGTAGGCAATTGAGAAGTAAAGTCCTCTCTCGTCGTACAAAGATCACACTCTATAAGTCACTCATCATGCCTGTGCTGGTGTATGGCGCGGAAGCATGGACAATGAAAGCATCTGATGAGGCGGCTCTTGGAGTTTTCGAGAGAAAGATTCTGCGAAAGATTTACGGACCTTTACGCGTTGGTGATGGCGAATATCGCAGACGATTTAACGATGAGCTGTATGAGCATTACAACGATATAGACATAGTGCAGCGAATTAAAATTCAGCGGCTCCGCTGGCTTGGCCATGTCGTTCGGATGGACAGAAACGCTCCTGCTCTGAAAATATTCAACGCGGGCCGCGATGCTGGGAACAGAGGAAGAGGAAGGCCTCCTCTGCGTTGGAAAGACCAGGTGGAGAAGGACTTGGCTTCACTTGGCATTTTCAATTGGCGTCAGTTAGCACAGAAGAGATATGACTGGCGTGCTGTTTTGGACTCGGCCAAAATCGCTTAGGCGGTTACAGCGCCAAATAAGAAGAAGAAGAAGGCAACCGTGCTTCCAAGTACAGGTATCGATACTTCCACGGTATCGTTGTATCCCTACAGAATAGCCGAGTAGTGCGCTCTTAAACAGTATAATTTTTCGGTATATATAACCATTAATAATGAGTCAAACCACGCCAACTGTGTCAATGAATTTTCATTGACTTTCTGGAAAGTGAAGACAATTGTGGGAATCTGTAGATAATTATAGAACAAAAATACACTTTGGACGGTTTTTCGAAATTGCACTTCGTTTTTGTTTTTTTTTTTTGGTATTATAAGAATATTGCAATTTTTGAGAGAAAAATTCGTAACTCGCGACCCGTTTGATGAAATTTTATGAAATTTTTTTTGAAATAGAAAGATTTGCAGAATAAAATTTGCAAAACAATTACTTCTTTAATAAGAATAATTTAAACAATTGCAATTATTTATATTTTCTAGGCCTGCGATTGCATTAAAATTTTGGCGCAATATACTCTAAACTCTTGTTTTTAAGTTCCAAAAAGAAAAAAATGGTCTTTCCAATTTTGACAGTCGCTATCGATTTTTTTGTCACGTTGAGTGGGACATCGCCGCGTATATAAGTTGTAAATAAACATTGATATTTAAAGTTATACGTTAAATAATGTTCGTACTTGTATAATTATTCATTAATTAATATAAAAATGCTATCACTCACACAAGCTTATATGAAAATAGCTATTTACTCAAGGCTTAAGGTGCGAAAAAAATCGATAGCGACTGTCAAAATTGGAAAGACCAATTTTTTCCTTTTGGAACTTAAAAACAAGAGTTTAGAGTATATTGTGCCAAAATTTCACTGCAATCTCGGGCCTAGAATATATAAATAATTGCAATTGTTTAAATTATTGTTATTATAGAAGTAATTGTTTTGCAAATTTTATTCTGCAAATCTTTATATTGTAAAGGAAAAACTTCAGCAACTCTCAAAAAAAATTTCATCAAATTTCATCAAACGGGTTACGAATTTTTTTCTCAAAAATTGCAATATTCTTATAATACCAAAACAAACAAAAACGAAGTGCAATTTCGAAAAACCGTCCAAAGTGTATTTTTGTTCTATAATTATCTACAGATTCCCACAATTGTCTTCACTTTCCAGAAAATCAATGAAAATTCATTGACACAGTTGGCGTGATTTGACTCAATATAAAAAGTACTAGCAAACCCGGCGAACTCCGTTTCGCCACCAGATGGCTTCGTTTCTTGTAACATTTCGTTTGGGGATTAAAATATGAAGAAAACTTATTTTTTTTTTGTTTTATATTTGAAAAGGAAAAATTTTATTTCATTTCACAACAGTAATGTATTCATTTCGATTACAAAAATGAAGTGTAATTTAGTTGAACTTCTCTAAGTAAAAAATCTGAATCGAAGCGTTATACGTGTCCGCAAATTATCTGTTTCATTGAAGTGCTCTTTGGTAAACCACATTTTTTGTTTTTTGGTCTGTCGTTAACACAAACAAAGCGGATGGTTTCCCAACTCGTGAACACGCAACGTATAGCTGCCCATGTGAAAAACAATGATTTTCTAAATTTATCCCGCAAACACTAAGCGATTGGCCTTGCGACTTGTTAATTGTCATTGCGAATGCAAGGCGAACCGGAAATTGCAATCTTTTGAAGTCAAACGGAAGATCAGTCGGAATCATTGGTATTCGAGGAATACATACATTTTCACCTGCGTACTTTCCGTTAAATGGTTGCCTCAATCAAATTCGACAGAAGTTTTTTCACCGCAAGTCGAGTACCGTTGCAAAGTCGCGGTGGATTCAAATTACGCAATATCATAATAACTGAACCAACTTTGAGTTGCAAGTTATGTGGTGGAAATCCTGGTAACTCCAGAGAGTTCAAAAACTCTGTTGGATAATTTACAACATCATCGGAATTTGTTATGGAATCAACGGATTTGTATGTCACCAAATCGCCATCGATTTTTGACTGAATGGTGAAATTCAATGCGTGTACATCATTATTCTTTGCGGCGAGAATTGCTCGTTGACTTAACCAAGCATAATTCTGATAATTCTCACTAATGTTTGGGAAAACATTTTCAATAAGAGCTAATTGAGAGTCTACAAATCGGCAAAAGTCGTTGGTAAGAGTAATTAATCCAGTTGTCGCATCAACTGGAACTTTTCCATTTCCAACAGCTAACAATTGTTTGGAAAATTGTGCAGCACGACAATGTCTCGTGATGTAGTTGGATCGCCAACAATAATTGCAGCAACATCATCAACGGTGGGTGCATTGAACCTTCGTACATGTTCACCTGTTGGGGTACGATCCGCTCTTATGACAAATTTGTGCGTATCCGATGGCATTCGTTGCAATGCTGTTTTGAACATATTAACCACAGCGTTATTAGCGTGAAAAAATGCTTGCAACTGTTCAATAATTCGTCTCTTTAACTGTTGTGTTCCCTGTATATTGCATCGCACATTCAGCTGATCCACCATCGACGAAATGAAATATATTTGCAAATTGATTGGGTTCATCTGCTGTTGGCGCCATTGAACCATGCAAAGTGCTCTATCTTAAAGCATTCATGAACAGCTTTAATATGATACCCATATTAAACAAATACATCCTAAGGTTACCCGGGTCCACGTTTTGGTCTATATCTCGAGACCCTAGTCACCCAGCTATATGAAAAGTGCTCTATCTTAAAGGATTCATGAACAGCTTTCATTTGATACCCATATTAACCCTCAAGCAGACAAGACCGATTTAAAGCGGTCAACAGTTAGACACCAAAATGCACCTAGTGGGGCGTGATTTTTTATTGTTTGGTAATTTTTTTTAATATATCAGCCTTATATAGTCATTGCAAGAAAAAATTATTCAAATCGGTGCTCTCAATTCTGTGTCATATTCATTTAAAGTTGTGATGTCAGTGCATGTGCGCGTAAAAATTGGTGCAGTATTTTTTCAAACTTCTTCTGATAGAACAAAAAAATCAACTGTTTTTTTTAATTAAAAAAATTATTACTGGTAAGTAAAAATAATTTATTTTAAGAAGAGTTATAACTTCCATTATACATTTACCGCTTCTAAGCGGTGTTGCAAGGTGCAGGCAAAAGGTCGCTATTGAATTTGAATGATCATGAGAGTATGGTGATTCTTAGTTTTCCTGCAGAAAAATTTCTACGAGACGTAGTAGAGTTACTGGACGGAACAGGTGGACTTTTGCAGAAATCAATGCACTTACTGACGAAGAAATCGATGATTTGATGTCTGGAGACCCGGAAGAGTTTGAGTCAGGTTTTGAAGACGATGGTAAAGGTATATTTGAAGGCAGCGATGATAGTGTTGACGATCCAGATTATCAGCCAGAAATTGAAGAGCTTGATTCTGAAAATAACGGTAGTACTCTAGTGGAAGACATTTCCACCGAAGACGAAGCACAAATTACTCCATTTGTTTCCACTTTAGGACGATGTAGTTCTTCTGGATATCTTTCTCGATCAATCAATATAATCTTAAATACGAACAACCTTAGTGATGTTAATAACGGTTCCAATGCAGTGAATACTTCTCCAACGCACACATCATTATCAGAAGAACTACCATATACATCATCAGTACAGCAATCGGCATCGACAATAGCGTGGGCCGAAAATCCGCTTTTTTAGAATTTTGATTGGTAATAGCAAAAATATGGTTCATTATGCTCTAAAAAACATCTCTGTGAAGTGTGAAAATTTTTGGTCAATATCCTAGGCTCGCCCAAGTCCATCAAAGTTTTTTTTAGCTAACTTCGATTCTCTACTAAATAGGTCCATATACCATATTATGTAGCACTAATACTTTAGAAGGTTACTGAAATTTTAGTAAACAAACGTATTAATTAATTTATTTATAATTTTTTTTTTTAGCATATTGAACTTTGATGGACTTGAGCGAGCCTAGGCTATTGACCAAAAAAATCTAAATTTCACACACATTTTTCTTAAAGCATAATTAACCATATTTTGCTATTACCAATCAAAATTCTAAAAAAGTGGATTTTCGGCACACGCTAATCAACAACAGGAATATCTATTTATATACCGGACATATCTAACACCGCCAGAAACGCGATTTGATCAGTATGACCATTGGAAAAACGTAAAGGACGTGAAAGGTAAACGAAAATGTAAATTACCTGGTTGTTAATATGAAACGCAGGTAAAATGCATGAAATGTAACTTAAATCTTTGCTTGTTTAAAGAAAGAAATTGTTTTGTACAGTTTCATAAGAAATAAACTTTCCTCTAACTGATATTTTCGTGTTTATTGTACACTTTCTCTTGTGTGGCAATTTTTTCCTCTACCAGGCAACACCGCTTAAAAGCGGTGTAACGGTTTTTTCACTTCTGCCTATTAAATATTTGCCTAAGGTGAAAAATTATCTCATTTTCGGTTTTCTCGATGCAAAATTAGTCCATAAAAATTTTTTTCACCATCGTAGCATTCACCAAAAAAATTCGCATGTATGAGGGTTAAACAAATACATCCTAAGGTTACCCGGGTCCACGTTTTGGTCTGTATCTCGAGACCCTAGTCACCCAGCTATATGAAAAGTGCTCAATCTT